AGGCCTCTACTGCAACTGTCTTCAGTTCCTGCTTGTTCTTGGGGCATTTTTCCTTCAGTTTTGTCTTCAGCAAGTGACATGCATGCTCAATCGGATTCAGGTCAGGTGATTGACTTGGCCATTGCATAACATTCCACTTCTTTCCCTTAAAAAACTCTTTGGTTGCTTTTGCAGTATTCTTTGGGTCATTGTCCATCTGCACTGTGAAGCGGCGTCCAATGAGTTGTGAAGCATTTGGCTGAATATGAGCAGATAATATTCCCGAAACACTTCAGAATCCATCCTGCTGCTTTTGTCAGCAGTCACATCATCAATAAATACAGGAGAACCAGTTTCCATTGGCAGCCATACATGCCCACGCCATGACACTACCACCACCATGCTTCACTGATGAGGTGGTATGCTTAGGATCATGAGCAGTTCCTTTCCTTCTCCATACTCTTCTCTTCCCATCACTCTGGTACAAGTTGATCTTGGTCTCATCTGTCCATAGGATGTTGTTCCAGAACTGTGAAGGCTTTTTTAGATGTCGTTTGGCAAACTCTAATCTGGCCTTCCTGTTTTTGAGGCTCACCAATGGTTTACATCTTGTGGTGAATTCTGTATTCACTCTGGTGAAGTCTTCTCTTGATTGTTGACTTTGACACACATACACCTACCTCCTGGAGAGTGTTCTTGATCTGGCCAGCTGTTGTGAAGGGTGTTTTCTTCACCAGGGAAAGAATTCTTCGGTCATCCACCACAGTTGTTTTCCATGGTCTTCCGGGTCTTTGGTGTTGCTGAGCTCACCTGTGCGTTCCTTCTTTTTAAGAATGTTCCAAACAGTTGTTTTGGCCATGCCTAATGTTTTTGCTATCTCTCTGATGGGTTTGTTTTGTTTTTTCAGCCTAATGATGGCTTGCTTCACTGATAGTGACAGCTCTTTGGATCTCATCTTGAGAGTTGACAGCAACATATTCCAAATGCAAATAGCACACTTGAAATGAACTCAGGACCTTTTATCTGCTCATTGTAATTGGGATAATGAGGGAATAACACACACACCTGGCCATGGTACATCTGAGAAGCCAATTGTCCCATTACTTTTGGTCCCTTAACAAGTGGGAGGCACATATGTTAACTGTTGTAATTCCTACACTGTTCACCTGATTTGGATGTAAATACCCTCAAATTAAAGCTGACAATCTGCAGTTAAAGCACATCTTGTTAATTTCATTTCAAATCCATTGTGGTGGTGTATAGAGCCAAAAATTTTAGAATTGTGTTGATGTCTTAATATTTATGGACCTGACTGTATAGAAGTACCTGAAATAAATAAAAAAATAAATATATAATTTAAGTGACAACTTATTCATTCTCCAAACATTTGTGGCAAAAAATAAAATGTTCCATGCAAATTCCTTGGGGTGTCTACTTTCCAAAGAAAGGGTTAGCTGGGGGGATTTTGTACTTCCCTGGCATTTTAGCATCTCAAGAAATGTGATAGGCAGTCAGACAGTAAAAGCTACATGATTTTCAATACATATACCATAGTTTGTAGACGTTATAACTTTCACACAAACCAATTGTGTGTATTGGGATTTTTTTTTACCAAACATCAGAATACATTTTGGCCTAAATTTATGACTAACTTTGAGTTTACTATATATCTTTTATAATCGAAAGTAAAAAAATATATTTTTTTTTTTTCAAATTATTTTTGTTTATATAAAAAAAAATAAAAAATTATTAATTAAAAAAAGACAATTTGTTTGGGTGCAGCATTGAATAACCGCGCAATTACCAGTTGAAATAGCGCAGTGCTGAATAGCAAAAAATGGCCTGGTCATTAAGGGAGATAAATCTTCCAGAGGGCAAGTGGTTAAAGGGGCACTGTGACACTGGCATCTGAGATAAAGAACCTAGACCCAGAGAGTGCACCTTGTCATGGTCACTATTGAAAGGAGGAAAACAGTAAAGTAATGCTTGACCTATATATAAAGAAAATGCAGCGCTGTGTGATGTTACTATATTGCGGGCAGATATAAATAATAAATGAAACCAAAGCAAATGAATAAATAAATCAATAAATAAATAAATCACAGTCCAGTAATGGTGCTCGCTGATTCCCAGTGCAAAAGTTAGAAATGCGCACTAACCAGAAACGTATTAATAATACGCATGTGTATATGATATCATGGAGATTCCCCTCTATTTTCTGGTCTGGTAATGGGCAGGAGCTGAAGATAGTAGAGATGAAGCGCCCTCGTGTGGCGAAATGTAGGTCCAGCAGGTCACAGAAATCCTTACAGAAGTGTGTGAAGTGGAAAATTCCTCCTCTCAAAGGCTGGTGCAGGGATCAATCTGGGTCTGCAGAAGCTGAAAAGGAATGGTGCCAGGTTTAATCAAATGACTGACCCTTTAAGATTAAAGATGGCCGCCGGGCCTCCACGTGGCATCGGCGGCATAGTGTCAATGGCATCCTGGGCTCCACCTGACGCGTTTTGTGCGCACGCACGTCTTCAGAGGTAGAGCTGAGGATCCTGTTTTGGATGACTGCTCAATTGCTCAGAAAGTTAAAAAAAAAAAAAAATTGGGCTAAAATTATCTTGAAATAGCATCACCAATCGTGTGGACATCACTTTGTTAACTAATTTTAGAATTTGACTCCTCGCATCTTGACTTATTTATTTTGTAATCCTTTTTTTTTTTTTTATTAATTTGAATAGAGAACCCAATATTTCAACCCAAGGGCATACTGAAATGATTTCAGGCTTTGTATGTATTGTGGTGATTCAGGCATTCACTCACTGGTAGTAGCATTTTTCAGTAAATTCACATCAGCCAGTTGTTTCAGGGCTTGGTAGCCCACTTTTATTCAAAATGATAGAAACCGTTCCACAGAATAAATGGTTGCCCTCTCAGGGGTGTACACTGTTACCTCATTTACAGATGAAAATTATATTAGCTTCCTGGCTCACTCTTGCAGCACCGCGCTGCGCAGGCCTCAAACCCATAACTTTTAGTCGATCCCTCAGACAGGTACCTACTGTGTTCCTGTGCAATCTATGCACCTCTCTCATGCGACCTCTGCATTTCACTCTCACAGCTAGCTGCACAGGGCCCATGCCCTCACCTGGGCATGAGACCTCCTCTGTCCTGGGTGGAGTCCTGAACTATGGTCAGGCCCTAGATTATAAAGACTGTGCACACCTACACACACACACAGCCTGCTGGTCTCTGGAAAAACTGGATACAGGAATAGAGGCGTCTTCCCTCACAAAGCTCTTCGAAGCCTCTGGACTCCATTTCCCAATCCAGGAGTTACAAAACCTGGAGAAAACCGGACAGGCACTTTTCCCTGTTCATAACATATTCTCTGGAGCACCTCAGTCAGCATCCTTGAGAACCCTGTGTCATTTTCGCCTATTTAAAGCCAATAGCAGGTGACAGCACTGTCAAAATATGAATGCTTGTAGGGCTCATTTACATGGGTGGCTTGGGGAAGCATTAAAAACAAGCCGTTGAGCCACAGTTTTTCTGCCCGTTAAACACCCACCTAAAAACGTGAATGCAGCCACTCTGGGTTGTACAAATGCTGCAGCAAAAATTATACCCTCTGTCATGTTCGGTGGGCAGTACCGGGGCCAAATGCGGGACATTCAAGTGAATGGGGCATGCCGTAACCATGAGCCAGTTGTTTGTCTCGCTGTTGTTGCAAAATTTTTATGTAGCTGGCAAAATAATTGGTATTCAGTAGGCAGCAGTATCACCTATTCCTGATATCCACTGCTCTGCTTTGGTGGATCGCTTTTTGACAAGGGCTATCATCCATGTGAATAAGCTATTTTTGCATCGTCTGACTGTCTAGTACACGGGTGTCAAACTGGCGGCCCTCCAGCTGTTGCCAAACTACAAGTCCCACGAGGCATTGCAAGATTGACAATTGCAAACATGACTCCCAAAGACAGAGGCATGATGGGACTTGTAGTTTCGCAACAGCTGAAGGGCCAGTAGTTTGACACCCCTGGTTTAGTAAGTATACAAAGGATTCACTATTTGTTCCTTCAGTAGCCCAATAAATACAAATATCTACAAAATGATGCAGATTCAAGTATTGTTTGATGTGGGACTGAATGGATTTTGTGCCTGATAAAATATAGTGATAGGAGTTAGCTTAACCATAAAGCATATGCAGGCCAAAGTAAAGGGTCACTTAAATCCCCCCTACAGTAAAATACACTCACCAGTAGTATATACTCACCTTTCCTTGCTCCCACATAGTTTTTATTTTCAGCTCGCAGGATTAAAGAATATGTAAAGCCTCGCCTTGTAAAACAACCCATTCAGGCAAAACATCTGTGTATACATTATATACATTAATACCATTTTCCCCTTTTGTTATAAACAATCACATTCCCTGTTCTCAGCTACATAAGGCGCTAGGGGAGGAGAAACTGCATTACACTTATCTTCCCAGAGAATGGCTGTGCATGGGGGAGATCAGCACAAGCCTGATTATTGGATTAGCTCCAAGCAGTCAGAGAGCTCACCATGGTGTGTGTTCTCCTGTTTAGTGTGTTCAGTTTTTAATAGGAAATGAGAGAGACTGGCAAAGAACACCAAGGATCCTACACAAGAGAAGTAAAGGCTACATTTTCATACAGGTACATGGTACAGCAGGTACTTAACAGGAATATGAAATGTTGGGTTTATATATTATTTAGGGAAAGATTGCCCTGTATAAGCTTCAAACTGACATTTCAAAACTCACGCAGGGTTATGGATTTTTTTTTATCCCATGTGAAATCATTGAGCCGATCTCAAAGCACCAACACTGTCACATGGGAATCGGGGGTGTGCGTCATCTAGTGGCCAATCAAAGAGGTTAAAAAGTGAGAGCATACTGCTGCTACTAATGTACAGAATGAAGTGCCCCCTCTTTCCCCTCTATGGGCAAAGGAATGGGGGCAGTTTAATCATTCTTGACAAAAAACTGAATCGGTCATTTTAAAGTGTTACTAAACTCACAACAGTAAAATCAGTCTGTATATGCAGTAAAGTGTGTTTGTTATACTCACTGTGGAACCTAAAGGGTTAATCCTCTGCATTGTGTAAAAAGGTAATTTGATCCTGGCTTGTCTGCTCCTCCATGTTGAAATGCCCACGTCTTATCTCCTAATAAGACAGACTGAACCGTAGCCATGCTGCACATGTCAGTTTAGTGTGTATTGCTAGAGGTTTTTTTTTTTTCTTGGGAGAGTGCATGTGATCAGCACAGGACCAATAAGTACTGTTCAGTTAGAGGTCAGGGGTTTTGCATCCTCCTAGAGCAGAAAGAAAACTCCTACAAGCTTTAACGTGTGCTCTGCTGAAGTCACAAGACTGCTCTAACTGCTGATGAGAAAAGGTATTTAGCAGTTTCTATTTACTAAAATAATTGCACTTCCATGTTTTGTGTACTGTGGGAGACCGGATATAGTGACTGCAGGGACCTGGGTTTAGTAACACTTTAAGGCTCCATTCAAAGCTATGTAAGTATGTCAGCGCGGAAGTGTAAATGCGCATTTTAAATATATTAGTTTATTTATTCATATGAATGATCTGCTCAACACCCTAAAACTGCACCAAAGAAGTGCTTACACATTTATTTTAATGCATGGTACTTTGTGCCTTAGCACATTTCACATGTGTGACTTAGCAAGGTGCATTGGGGTGCCAAGAAGAACAAACAGCATCAATTAAAAAGATCTACATTTTGTGCACTGCAACAGTGTGCACAAATTTGTGTACATTCCTCAGCACACACGTTAACGACAACACCTGCCAAGACCATTGCTAATTGTAGTCACTGTAGGAGGCTGCCATTGCCTGACTGCAAAAAGAAGAGCCAATTCTGGTCTGGACATTTGACTGTATGTGATGCAGAGGTATGCTTTGCTCCAGATTTAGCAATACTTCTGGGGTTGGTGCACAGCAATGCATAGGAACAGCCGCTTTGACAACCATCCTGACAGCTTGCATTTAAAAGGAATGATTTCAAAACAAATCTTAATTTTTCCTTCTTAAAACTGGACATACATGGATCAAAATTTGGCCAGTTCAGCAGGGACCAGACAAAATTTTGATCCTATGGGCATTATGGTTGTACAGAAGTTGATCTACTGATTGGCTTCTGTACAACCGCCCTGTTGGATTTTCCTGGCTTAATCAGTGATGCTGGCTATAGCTTGCAATGCTGATCAGTGTTTTCTGACAGGGGGTAGTGTGACCGCTGTCAAAATACAATAACCCACTGTGGAGGATTCCTCCATCCACCTCAAGTATGTGGATGGGGGAATCAGGTCAGATTATTTTAGTTGAACAAGAAAAACTGATTCATACGGGCTGCGAAGGCACATGAACATTGACCATTGTATTACGGCTAATTTACACTGGCATCACCCTCTTTAGAGTGACCTGTGGTTGAACGATTTTCAGAGGAAGTTTCCAAGGTGGTGGAGACCTTATGTTGCCTCCTCAATGCCACTAAAAATCCCCATCACCTCAGTAGTTGTGTTCCACCCCCATTCAGTTAAATGATTCACATTTGGTGGGTGGTAAAGGGGTGATCATTTATGCCACAGCAAACAGTGTAGCTGCAGCATGTATACACTCCCATCTGCTGCCTTTGAAGCTTCAGGGGAAGCAGTTGGGGGCAGTAAAAATGTGGCTCAGCTGCATTTTTGTTTTTTTTACCACACACACCTGCAAGAGTAAACCAAGCCTTAGTGCAGATTTTAGGCTGGAATAAACCATGATAGAATTAAATCAGTTGTTTTCATCGGTATTGTCTTCACCGCCTGCTTACCATGTGTTTAACATCTTGAGCTGTTCTGCACTCTTTAAGAAGCTCCCTGCTAAATTTGTTTGCTTTTGAAAGTATTTACATAGATGAATGTCATCATAATGCATATAAATGTTTCACGCAAATTCTAAACTCTGAGCTTCGGTTTGCTGTAAACATTCAGGGAGACATTAGGGAGGGTGGGTAGGACTATTAGAATACATGTAGAACATGTCCCAAGGTGTTCTGGTTTCAGCTTGTGGCCTTATTGCATCTGACATACCCAGAAGTGTTGGACACTGGATATTTTGCTGGAGGCTATAGCTCTTGAAGAAAACAAAGTTAATACTTGCCTAACACTGGAGAGGTAAGATTAAGGAGTCTTCTTTTGTAGGCTCTGGTTTTTTTTTTTTAAGCAGAGGGGTTGCTATAAGCCCTTGCTTACACTATGCCAGAGGTAGTACAGGGCTTCTAGTTAACTCCCATGCAATGCCATAATTGAAAGAAGAGCCACAACATCTCCTTAAATTCACTCATTAAATATTCTAACTGGCAAGTGTATGAATGTAGAAAGAAGTTGTGGATGTACCACAGGGGTTGGACAAAATTATGGAAACACCAGGTAAAAGAACAAATCATTATCTGATATGGTGTTGGACCGCCTTTGGCATCCAAGAATGCCTGAACTCTCCTGAGAATTGACAAATATAAAAGTCTTGAATGGTAGATAATGGAATCTGATATCTCTCTTCATGCAAAAATCATCCCAGACGGCAGAAAACGAGCCCAAACCTTGTTCTCTAAAATTGACCATAGTGGCTCTATGATATTGAGGTCCGGTGATTGTGGTGTCCAGGGAAGGTGCAAGACTTTGTCTGCATGCCCATCAAACCAGGATTTGACAACACTAACTGTGTGAGTCGGAGCATTATCGTCTTGAAAAATGGCGCTGTTTTTGGGAAACAATGTCTGCACCATGGGGTGCATATGGTCGGCCAATATTTGTACATAGTCGTCAACAGTGACTCTACCTTTCAAGAAGATGATATGGCCTGCAGAATACCAAGATATGGCTGCCCAAACCATGATTGCGCCACCACTATGCTTTACCGTTGACACAAGACAGTCCTGGTCGTAAGCTTGGGACGGTGTTCGCCACACATAAACACGTCCATTGGTCAGAGACAGTGTGAAGCTCGATTCATCAGACTATATTAGAGTCTTCCATTGATCAATAGTCCACGTTTTATGGGTGTTGCATCACTCTCTCCTCTTCTGAGCATTAATATTGTCATTAGTGGTTTGGCATTTGCACTTGCCCATGAATGTTTTGCTTATGGAGTTCTCTCCACGCAGTTTTTATGGACACGGGCTTAGGAACACTGAGATTGAGCTCTGCAGTCACTTTTGCAGCAGCAATTTTCTTATTCTAGATCACAATCCTGCACAGTGTCCTTTTGTCTTGTTTGGTCAGTTGACCATTTCGACCGTGTTTATGCGTATCAGTTGACCATGTCGACCATGTTTATGCCTATCAGATGACGTTTTCCCAGAAACTGTATATGCAGTCATAACCTTTGATACTGTACCTTGCGACATGGCAAATAAATTGGCAACTTCAGTCACAGAGGTACCAGCTAAGCAGCATCAACAATTTGCCTCTTTAAAGCGCAGTAAGCTCTGACATGACTCCGTATTACTAGCAGCATACAAAAAGACGAAAGTGAGGCTTCCCACCTGTTAGCTAGGTGTCATCACACAACAAAAGAATGTTACATCACTTCTGCTTTCAATGCAGAACATGTCACTTTCACACCTGCAAATCAGGTAGTGTTTCCATATTTTTGTCCAACCCTGTACTGTTTCAATATATTTTATGGCTGTCAGTGTCCCTTCTATAAGCTGAGTACAGCAAACAGCATGATTAGAGATGCAACCCCAGATCATAATGCTGATAAGATGCTTCAGTGTTACTGTTGTACACTCTGGAAGCAGGTCTTCACCAACCCTTCGATGGACATAGTTCACACTATCACTCGCAAACATTGATTTTTGTTATGTTCATTGTAAGACACAGCTTTTGATTGAAAGTCAAAATCATAGACATTGGTTCTGATCGATCTTCAATCAGAAGTTGTGTGTCCCAAGGAACTCAAAGAAAAGGAATTTTATGGTGAGTAAAAAAAAAATTAAATTTATTCTTTGTGTTCATTGAGAGACACAGCTTTTGATTGAAGATCAATCGGAACCAGTTGCGATGGTTCTGATTGATCTTCTGTCAAAAGATATGTCTCTCATTGAAGTCAAAGAAAAGAATTTCATGAGGAGTACCAAAAAAATGCTAGCAATGCTAGTATTTTTTTTCATTGCTCTAGATTATTGCAGTCTTCAGCTGTCCAGTCAGTAATGAATCACACTTCTCTGTCTGGCAATCCGATGGGTTTGGCAGTTGCCAGGAGGACAGTATTTGCCTGACTGCATTGTGCTAAGTGTAAGGTTTGGTGGAGGGGGGATTATGGTGTGGTTTTTCTTTTCAGGGGTTGGGCTTGGCCTCCTAGTGTCAGTGAAGGGAACTCTTAAGACGTTAGCATACCAAGACATTTTGGACAATTTCATGCCCCCAACTTTGTGGGAACAGTTTCTGGATGGCTCCTTCCTGTTCCAACATGACTGTGCACCAGTGTACAAAGCAAGTTCCATAAAGACATGAATGAGCGAGTTTGGGGTGGAGGAACTTGACTGGCCTGCACAGAGTCCTGACCTCAACCCGATAGAACACCTTTGGGATGAATTCGAGTGGAGACTGTGAGCCAGACCTTCTCATCCGACATCCGTGTCTGACCTCACAAATGCCCTTCTGGAAGAATGGTCAAACATTCCCATAGACACACTCCTAAACCTTGTGGACAGCCTTTCCAGAAGAGTTGAAGCCGGTATAACTGCAAAGGGTGGGTCAACTCAATATTAAACCCTATGGACTAAGACTGGGATGCCATTGAAGTTCATGGCGTGTAAAGGCAACCGTCCCAATACTTTTGGCAATATTGGGTAGCTTCTTTCTTTGGTTTTCTTGCTTTTAATCCAGCATAAAAATAGTCATCATTGAATTTATTTTACTTATTGAATCACCACTAGTTTGGGGAGTTTTTTTATGTCAGCCGATGACTTTCTTCTGTCTTCCAAAGCCAATCTTTTGATTTTCATGTCATCAGTTGTTGGTGTTGTCACCATATTTCTACCTCTTTTTAGTTTGGTTTGGACTTTTCCACAAATCTAATACCTTAATATGAGTTTCCTTATTCCATATTTTGTTGCACCACCATCAAGAACTTTTGCATTTTTTCATAAGTAAAGTCTAGTACAGGGATAGGCAACCTTTGAGAGGTGGAAATCGACCTGAGTAATATGAAAGAGATCAAAGATCAGCAGGGTTCAGTGCCCTTTTTTTTTTTTTTTTTTAAAAAGAAATAAACTAGCAAGGCCTAACTAAAGAGTAAGGAAAACATAAAA